ACCAGTTGTGGAAGCTTCATCTGAGAGTTTAGGGTCCAAAGTGGCCAGGATCGCAGCTCTGGTAGGTGGGCTAGCGGGCGTACTGACTTGGCGGCCGTCAGGTCCCACGGGCAAGGCTGCTCAGAGCCTAGCCGTAGCCGCGATGGTAGCTAGTTTGGCCACCAGCTGTGATTCTAAGAAGAGAGCCACTGGGCCAACAAGAAGTGAATATGTAGATCCACCGTATGGACTTCAAGATCAGGTGAGGGAAGATGAACCCACCTGCAGTAGAGATGATGGGTCGGAAGAGGAACCTGACTTTGAACCTAGCCCTGAGGGCTCCCGGGATTACGCGGTAGATGTGAGCCATGGCACTAACAGTGAGTCAAGTAGTGCAGAAAGACCTGACTGGAGGAGAACGATGGCCAGTGAGGATGAGGAACCGCCAACCTTGGACGAGATGATCGCTCAAGGGTGGAGGGTGGTGCGAAGCAACTTGGCACCCCCAAATCGAGAAATCTACAGAGGACCCAATCCTGTGCTACCACCAGCTGAGGACCCAAATCAGGAGACACCAACTTGGATGGGGGTGTCTACGCAGATGCCAGTGAGGCCCAGGTCAAATGACCCTTGGGAGCCGCGACGCGGTTTTTCTGGAACCTCAAGGGTTCGTGAAGACTCAAGCGAGTCAGAAGGGAGTTTTGAATAGCTCTCAATGGCTTGAACCAAGCCAGGGGGAGTGTGATTCTGGAAGTGCACAAATCGAAAAGTGTACAACCATACCTCGTAGAAAGCCAAGCGCTACGAGTGTTTTCATCGAACTTTGGCTCAAGGTTTGAAAAGGCCCGACGCGCTGGGCATCCCATTTCATAACCACAGTATCAAACAGCTCTTGATCTTCAGCCTCTCTCGGGAATGAGAGGTTCGCAAGATCGAGCGAGTGGGACCTTGGTCACGCTTCGCCGCTGGGCTTGGCGGATTCGGGTTGCATCTTCACAGTCGATTGGGCGCAGGGCCAGCTTCACTGCCTAAGTTCTTCTGCGTATGGTTCTGCAAACGAAGGAGAAAAAATAGCTCTTAATTACTCCAAGTCCTCCAAGTCATGCATTTAGAATGCATGACATCAACAAGGCTCACACCTTCACACTGTGAGGTTGATCGGCTTTGGGCCTCGGCGAGCTATAACCCAGGCAAATATATGCAAATATATATATATATATACACACATTCCAACACCCACTCCGCCACTCTGAATACCCTTCAAGTAGCTTCTGATGCAGGTGGTGTCACTGACTCGGAGCGGTACCACCTGGAGACATGCGGGATGCTGCTTTGATATTATATGTTCATATATTTTCATATGCACAATCAGTCGTTCGATTTGGAAGGGATGCTAGCGATGCACCAAGCCTTGGAAACTGGACCTCTGGGAGGTCAGCTTCGGCCTCCAGAGTTGGAAGAAGGGGAGCAAAGACTCTACTAGGGGAGACCATCGCTAGCCGCTAGTAGGTTGGAGGCCATCGCTGTTAGGAGCAAGGACGCGACTAAGGGAGGTGTTTAGCAGGAACCGCTTTGGTCCTCCGTGCCTCCAATGTGTCAGCGAGAGGTCTCGGTGGGCGACTGGAGATCGACGCCTCGGCACCGACCAACGAGCGATAGGAGGATACACCGGTGCATCTAACCGGGCCTGCCGCAAAGGAGCCAAGGCTTTGCAGTCAGCAGTCAAGGCTCTGCTGTCCCTCGGTCGTTTGGATCTGTTGATGATGCATCTGTTGATGACATGTCTTGACATGTCACTCTCCTCTCCTGTGTCAATGCAACACGTTGATACACATCCCACACTTTCAATGCCATCCCTGCAAATGGCACGGTGGGACATTGAAAAAACCAACCTCCGACACGACCTCCCCTACTTTCTAAACATGCTCCACTGCCCTGAGACGTCGGCGACTCTCCTCTTGGTAGATTGAACCTAGGTCGTGTGTCAAGGACCAGGGCATTTGGACAATAGCTTGAAGAACATAAACATTGACACATGCAAGCCAAGAGCCATTGAACGAAAAGCCAACCTTTTTGAAGGAAGCCTGTGCATCACACGTTCTCCGAGCCATTAAAGCGCGGGAACCTTAGCTCCGACGTTACCACTCACCATTGCATCTTCCGAATCAGACTCTCCGCCAGCGAATGGGTAGTCTGAGATCTCAACTGACCGGCTGCGGCATGCGTGGATCTCTTGGGATAGGTGGCGGCCTCAAAAACACATTGAACATACGAGGATGCTGAGCTACAGCGGGGTTCGCGGAACTCGGTGGATCTCCACTGAGGACTTGATGTTTCACCTTCCAAATCGAACTTCCGCTGGATCTTGCTCATGCCCACACCGCCCAGTGGTGTGACATGGGATTCTCAAAACCACTCCGGCATGGTCCATACCACTAGGCCATGAGGGATCCTCACTCCTGTATCATGAAACCACTTGGGGCAGCTGGCTCTGGTGCACGCTCTGAACTTCTGCCTCTGGGACCTTAGCGGCGAAAGGCTAGACGCCCCAGAAGCCCCATGTGTGGTCTGCGCTGCAAAGGTTTTGTTTGCTTCAACTCAATTGCTGTCAGCAATGGAACCACATCTGATCACATCATTCTCACATTTTCGGCCGCATCGTCACCTCAAATACAACTATACCGCATCTGTGCATCTGCATATGTACAATATATTATAGTTCCAAATTGACAGAGATATATTAGGTGGTGAAACTCTAGTGTGGTGAAACTCTACCCAGTGCGCTTTGCGCCCACATCTCTCAAGAAGCAGGTGTGCCTTGCAACCACACATGTTTTTTTAGCTCAGACCGGCTTTTTCAGCCGGAGATTGAACAATATCTCTACAGTAACAAACTGATGAACCGATGAGGGCTGAGCAGCAAAATCTTGAGGGAGGTTGACCTGACCAGCGAGGGCTGGAGGCAAAATCCAAGCATGACCATCCCTCTCTCTGCGAAAGGTGGTTGTGCTCACAGTATCTGGCAATGTCTTGAAATCCAAGCGGGAAAACTGAAGGCCCCCAGACCACAAAAACAAACACCTAGCCCTTCGATCTCCAAACTCAGCACCCTTGACCTCAGAACAAAAAGCTCTGCTTCGAACACACAACTTTTTCGTAGCTTCAGCGCTTGGTCTCCGATGTTTGGGATGCCTCACCAGTAGTTTTTGCATCCTGTTCCATGCTTGACGGCCTGTTTCTGTGATGTGATAGCAACCGTCAGCATCCCGCGTGAGAATGGGATTAGTGCCAACTATTCTTCGACCTCCCTGCAAACGACGCAGGGTTTGTCGCACCGCTGACAAGGATTTCAGCTTGAGTCTGGTCATGAGCTCTTTAGCAGACAATGGTCCGTCCGACAATGCCTGAAGAAGCTTTAGGAAGTTCCTCTTGGTGGGCATGTGCAAGTAAGAAGCCGAAAAACGATCGACCTTGCAGTTTTGACAAGTGGTGCTGAGAGGCACGTTGTTGTGCCCACAGCGATGGCATCGCCATGGACCCAGATCCGCTTCGGCCGTCACAGACTGCTGGCGCGACCAAAAGAGAAATCGCTCTTGGACGATCTCGAGAGACAAATCCTGGAAGGTCACGACATAAAAACCAGGACTTTCTTCACCGATCTTGGTCAGCCACTCATTGCATGCACCACACGGCGGCAAGGGATTCAGCAAATCATGAGTCGTATCCTTGTCCCAGCGATTCAACAGCGGCACCTCCAAAACAGCGATGCCTTTCATCTGCTTGCGAGTCACGTTTGGGAAAGCGGTTCGGGCATTGACAATCGCTGCTCTTTCTGCACATATGGAACCAGTTGGCAAGGACACTTCACTGTTGATGCCTCTCACAAACTCTGCCCTTCCTTTGTGATCAACATGGAGCAGTGACAACACCACTCGCCCTGACTTTCGATGGAAGAAAGGTTCCGTGCCGTTTTGCCTGTACCACTGCACATATGCCTTCATCTGCTTCGCCAGCACATGAACATCATCGTTCTCCGGCATATCTGCAATGGACCGAACACGAGTGTATGATTTGTGAATGATCCACATCTCATTTCCGACAGCATGTGGGCGGGTGTTCCGCCTGCGCAGCATCCCCAGCATGGATGGAGTACCGGGCCTTCTCTCAGCCATGACCTTCAAGGCCTTGCTGGACTGACTGCGACACCATGGCGAGCGAAGCGAGCGAATGGGCAAGCAGGAACTCCGGATCATGCTGATCTTGAGCCAGAAAAGCTTAGAATATCTTGGAATATTCCTGGAATGATCATAGTGGTCGCGTTTCAACACGGCTGCGATGGTGTTGAACAGCATGCGCACATCTTTCCACCCAGTGCGGTTAGTGTTCTGCAGACTGGCTGATAGTTGGCGTTCCTCGAGGATCCTCAAGGATCCCAGTATCACCAATAAGGTGAAAATCTAACGTTACAACTTCCCGGCGCTTCGCCACTGCCTCGCACATGGAAGCTGCGGTTTCAGCGGGCAAGGTAGCCAGGTGGCAAGCCATGGGGCGAGAAGCTGGCAAGGTGAATCCCACTTCCATGCATCTCCCATGATGGTGTGACATGTTTTGAACAACCCTTTCAACTTTCCATTTTAGGGATGGAAATATGTTGGCCAGGGATGTGCATGGTGAACTTGGACTCTACTACTATGAACATCCTCAGCTTTGGCTTTGACCTTTAAAGCCACCAAGAAAAGCCGAGCATAGTGCATCAGGTCAGTGGTTACAAAAATGACAGAACGAACACTACGGACGCCTATCCAAAACTCTGGTCAGCGCAATGCAGCGAACAAAGCACGGCGCGGCAATCCTTTCGCTCTTGGAATCCAAGATCAGGGTCTGTCCAGTTCTGCCCTATCTGCACACTGGGCCTGGGGCAGTTCATTTGACCCTTCCCCCCTCACACTTGACATGACCAGTGAGCAAAGTCTAGCCTCCTGGGCGATGGTAAATGAGCTCACTTCATGTACCTCGGCCCATCAACAAGATCCACACACAAAGCCCGTTCCGACGTCCAAAGCTTGGAATTCTATTCCACCAGTTGCGGCAGGCTGCATCTTGCTCATCTCAGCAACAGCTCCATCCAGTGCGTCTGCCAGCGCCGGATCCACATTCTGCTTGCATTTCACTGCCGCCAGCATCACCTCCAGTCTCAAGTCTCAAGCGTTGCACCCTGGAAGTTTTCTCAATGAAATTCAATGGTCGGCCAGCCTGGTGATGGGATTGAAGTGCAGCAATGTAGTCCGCCTGCTCAGCTGTTGGCCAAACATCTGAAGAGTCACTATCACAAAGAAGTTGTGCCTTTCTGTGCGCCCCATCAATCAAGAAACACCCAAGAGATGCGCGACACCCAAGAGATACGCCTCGCTGGAGAATGGACTCTTCGGATCGCTCACAGGCTTCACCCGCTGGCAAAGGCAGTACTCCGACCTTGGCAAAACGTACATACAGCTCCAGTCTCGAACAGCCGACTTTCGAGAGACACTCTGACTCTGTTTCCTGGAATTTGCAGCGAAGCTGCAAAAACAGGAAACACGAAACTCAAAGGAAACAAGCAACTCATGGCAACTGTTCTGAAATATCAAGATGCAAGGACCTCGCTGAATGCAGCGGATCAAAGCCCAAATTCAGGCCATGGCATGAGGCTTACGATCTTGCCAGCATGTTCTTCCTATCATCACTGTGGGGTTTCTCCAGCTCAACGAAAGGCAAACCAGCAAACACCATATAGGTGTTCAAGGCTGCCTTCGTGTTGACCCAGCGCGTCATCTGATTGATATTCAGAGGTGTCATATTGGCCTTGCGAAGGCATCATGCTTGTTCGTACTGCGAAAAGAAGTGCCCGCATGAAGCATTGAGTTTGAGGCCGACAATTCTCCAATTTGCACCATGGCCTTGTGCGTGGAGCATTACTACAGTACTGAAAATCCAGTTTCTGGTGAGTTGCAAATCCTCCGCATGTGTTACTGTGGCTTTTGTGGTTCAGCCGCCCCGTGGGTGTGTGTATATTTATACATATATATATATATATAAATCTGTGTGTGTGGAATTATGAAAAACTGTTTGTAACCATGTCCAACCCTTGGACTCAAAGGGGGCCTTTTGGCTTCTTCACTTCCGCTGTTGTGGTTTCTTTCTACCAGCAGCGGGGCAGTGGGGAGCCCACAGTTCGGCCAACGAAGACAGCTGTAGCTCCGGACGCGGCGTGTCGGACGCCACTTGGTCCCGTTCCTACTTTTAACTATCCTAATAGTTGAATGCTAAAACCTTGGTCTGTCACGTAGTAGGCCGACTCAATCGCGATCGAACGTTTCGGTCGCGGCAGCAGCCTGTTTTCCAAAGTCTTGAGCCAAACGTGTTGGCGTCCAGTGACACAGTGCATACGGCAAAGCCGATTTCCGATGATGCAAGTCTTTACATGACAATTCCGGTCTTGGATAAGTGCTCCTAGACTCTTCTTACCAACTATACATGAAGTGTGCAACCTCACTCAAAGCTCAGTTCTTCTTGGGACGTTTTAGCTCTGACTCCTGAGCTGCTCGACGGCTTGGGATCAGTTCTGAATCCCGGGCTATCCAGCGGTTTCGGAAAGGCTCTGTGGCACACTGTATGGAGGTATTCTCTTCGGCTTGTGTTTCTGCCGTTTCTTGTACCCTGGCTGGGTAGGGCCTGTCGTGCCCTGAGGTCCTGTCGCTACATCTGTCATTGTTGCATCTGGCTGCAACGCCATTTGCTTGTCCAACTTCAGGCCAGTGCCTGGTGTATGTTTGATGGTGTAACCATCGAGGTGTACTCCAAGGTTTTGGAGGGTTTTAGGCCATAGTGCAGGCTCGACTGCTTTTGTGAAAGCATCGGCTTTCTGGTCGCTTGTTCCAACAAGGCTCAGTTCCACGTCATCGCGGTCCAACTGTTCTTTCACTGAAGCCAAACTCACGCGATGTACGCGTTTGAGATGCCTCAGCTTCTTGGAGTATCCAGCTGTCACGACCTTCGCGCATGCAGTGTTGTCTTCGCGAAGCCTCAACAACACAGGACGCCCAAGCATTGCGGAATACAACTCAACCAATGGCAAACCCTCTTCAAGGAGCACATAGGACAATGCGACAGTTTCTGCCTCCGTCGTGCTTCGGCACGTAGCCGTCTGTTTCTTTGACAGCCATGCCAAAGGAAACGATGTCCGAGGGCCAGACAACTGTAGCCATCCACCAGTGGTACTGTGGGTGTGTTCATCGTCTCCGCAGTAGTCTGCGTCTGCGAAAAGTTCAACAAACACATGCTCCGGCGCATCACGCACATGCCCAAGCAACATAGCGTTCTTGGTGCACTCAAGGTAGCATATGGCACGGTATAAGTACGCATCACAAGCTTGCGTCCAGGACTGCACCGTGGTAGCCAACCAAGTCACAACTCTCAGCAGGTCGGGACGAGCAAGGCGTGCCAACCACATGAGTCTCATCAAAATGCTACTGGCAGAGGCTGCCAGAGCACCACGCTCTTCTGCTCCAACGAACCCTTTGCTGAGAAATGGTGATGCGACGACTTTCATCTTTGGGCTGTTTGCAACCCTCAAATACTCTGGAACAGTAGCCTCAGCGTATGCACGCATGTCAAAGCCAAAGAACTCTGTGTTATCAACCTCGACAGTGGAGTGGTGTCGACCAAGAAAGCGACCCAACGGTCCAATGTCATCAATCAACACCTTTTCACCCAACGCCTCCCAGAAAGGCTCGTGCCACTGACTTGGTCCTGAAAGAATCAAGTCGTCCACGTAGACAACCAATGCCAATCCTCCGAAGGTGGGAATGGTGAAGGTGGAAGCGAACTCTTCGACCTTGACTGCCCCTAAGAGACACAACTGTTCTTCAAGAAACTGTTGCCAATGGGCGCCAGCCTCTGGGTGTCCGTACAGCGATTTGCGCAATCTAATGATTGGCCTCTTGAAACGAGGGTAGCCACTTGGAGTGAACCAAGATTCAGGCCACAACTCTCTTGGGAGACGGATGTATGTGGCAGCCAGACTTTTCAGTTCCGATTGGAGATACGCCTTGACGGCGTCTGCCGACGACAACTTGTGTCCCTCAAAAAGACCAAAAGAAATAACGCTATTGGCTGCAACGATCGAAGCAGGGGACGCAGCTAGCGTCTGGTAGAGCGCCAGCTTCCCTTCAGCCGTCTTTGCAGAATCGCCACGGTAACACACTCGACCCTTCAGAGCGCGCAGCTCTGGGGCCAACTCAACATGCTTCTCGCTGCAAATAGCAAGCAAGTCTGCAATGTGGATAGTTTCTCCATTCTTCAATGCAGCTTCCTTCACACGGAATTCCTCATCAACCGACTCAAGCTCCCATGTTCCCATGGAGCCCACACCATCGAACTCCTTGCGGATCGCCTGCAGTGCATCAGGTCGGGACGACACTTCGTTCCGGGTGAGCTGTCTTGTCACTAGGGCGTATACCCCAGCTGCAACATCGTCCGGTGGGACATATCCCTCGGGAAGTTCATCAGGAGAGTATTCCGGACCCTCGGTTGGCTCCGGCTCAACCCAATGTTTCTCTTCTGCTGCTCCTGTGGAAGGGGATGAAGAGGAAGCTTTCTCTGAACTCTTAGGCATAGGAAGCGGTCCAGGTGTCTTCGGTGCTCCGACATCTGGCGCCGGTGTAGGCGGCGCTGCAGCTTCTCTACGGGGGATGGCATCAAATCGCTCGCGACATGCCTTGTTGTGGCGGTAGTGGCCACCATCACATCCAGGGCAACCCTTCGTAAAACCATGCTCCAACAAACGGGAAAAAGTAATGTATGCATGACGTGGGGGTGCAACTGGGGTGTCTTCCGGAAAAGCATCAATGTCAATGTCATACGGGAGCACTCCCGACTCAAGAGATCTGTCATAGATCTTCTTCTTCACCTCAACCTCAGGGTCAGACATGTCCTTCAACGCTTTCATCACTGCGTTGGACAAGGGAAACTCAATGTGTTCAACAGGAGAGAAAAACACCTCCTTCTCATGCAAGTCCTTGGGACTCCAATGCAAATGCGCTCTTGTGCGGACAGCTTCATAGTCAACGATCTGCACGACATTGCGGCATCGCAAGCCTGAGTCAACACGCCATCCTGCAAACAAGCCTGGTCTTGTAGTTGGAGCGGCCATTCCATCGCTCTTGGCTCTGTAGAAAACAAGCGCACCAAGAGGGTACTTCACTCCAAGGAAGGGCTCGCCTGTGCAAACCTCCCAACGGGTTTTACCAGTCTTGAGTTCCTCAATCTCCGTTCCACGCTCATGCTTGCGAATCACACAAGGCGACCAAAAGGCACGAGCTTTTGCGGTGTAGACAACGGAGATCGGCCACATCTTCTTGCTGAAGCCGGCCTGGAGATGTGCGGGTCTGCGCAACTCTTTCAACGTCCTCACTTCACGCTCGACGTGGGCCGCGTGAGGCCAATCCCTGGGGATGCTCGGGGATATTGTCCAGCACAACCTGGATGCCGCTCCTGTCAACTCACCGGCTGCATCTGATTTAAAAATGACACCAGTATCACCGTTCAGCCTATGGCCACCGAAGTGTTTCAGTGAGTTGTAACAGGATTCTTCTGACCTGTCTCTGGCCGGATAGGCCATGCTCAGACCGGAGGAGAGATCAACGATCACCAGAGCCACCTTCTCCCCAGCGTTGCTCACGCTTTCCTCCGACGGAAACATGTGGTCGGCTTCGAGCACACGGCCAAAAGCAGCCGAGCGCTCGTACGCTTCATCACTAGGTTCAGGTCGAACTCCGTGGGCATATCTTTTCAACATTCGACCACGCACGCAATGTTCACAAAAAGGATTCTTCTTCGCGTGGGTCGTGATGTGGTCTAGGCTCTTTGCTTCACGCTTCAACCTAGCATCTCTCGACTCTGCTAATTCAGCTTCGTCGTCCGCAGGAGCGAGGTCATCTTCAAGCTCAGCGGGAGTTGCAAAGGTATCAACGGTTTCAATGACCAACGGTCCACGGTAGACCTGTTCCTTTGGCTCCTTCTCGACATGCTCCTGTGCGACCACGCAAACAGCTGCCTCACAAACGGGCATGGCGGGCACCTCCTTGAAAACAAGGTCAGGAAACAAAGAAGAGAAGACGATCTCGCACATGATCTCTGGGTATCTTGCAGTCGTGCTTGTATTGGAACCTGTGATGGGTGCATGTTTGAAATCAGTATCATGCTTGCATCGACACTCGTTCAAGTTCTTTGCGAGGTTCTCATTTGTTGTTGCCACGCGCCACTTCTTGAGGAACGGTGTGCCCTGCCGATCAACAAGTCCAACCGCACAACCATCAAAATTCACCACTGTCATGCCAATGTCTCGGATGAGCTGGCACAATGCAGCCTGCTTCCAACCCAATGCATGTCTGGGCCATTCAAAATGAACATCTCCACCATGCTCAACAACACATCTGGCAAGCTCGCAAAAGCGATCAAGCAGCTTCAACGACAAGTCTCTCGACTTGGCCAACTTCTTTCTGAACTCTGCCCCATAGCGGTGTGCATTGAGGTACTGCCATTGGCTCCACGGGCCACAAGGAAGGCTAGCCCACAAATCAATACCTGGGTGTTCACGAATGAAGTTCTTCAGGTGTGACGTGGTACTCTCATACTCTAAATTGTTCACCTCCTTGGTACAACGTGTGACCTTGATGTTCAACCTCTCACCAACAACACCTAGGTTGGAGTCCGGCTCGGTGCACAACTCAATGAGCATGCCACGGCCTTTGAGGGTCAGTCTGCATTTGTGGTTGTTCAAAACTCTCGAGCTCCTTTATCACCTCGACGGCCAGTGCCTCAAAGCGTTTTGCTATATTGCCTTTATTGACCTGGGCCTGTGTGGTGTAGAACTCAACCATGTCACGCATCATCA